GTTAAAAAAAAAAAAAAAAAAAGAACACCTGAGAGTATCTGGTATCTTTTCTTGTACTGACATGTTGGTCCCAACATCTGTCATTGATAATTTTTACATTGGTTGCTTTCTTCCTCTTCCACATCTGCTCTCTCTCCTCCCTCTCATCATTTGACACACTCAATATGCATATATATATATGTAAAAACATACACATCACACACACAAAACAAGCACGCATGAACACACAATTGTATTTTATACTTATACACGCATATATGCATATGTACCCATTACTCACAACCATCTGCACCCAAAAAAAATTTAAAAAGACACTCACGTTGTTGTTTAACTTGGGAACACGGTACTCATGCTCTCATTTTTTCTCACAACACAGGGGCACATGATCATTATAACTCCAAATCTTATTTCACACATACCTGCGCATTCCTCATACCACTCTCCGCACGCTATCTTACTATCACAGGCTAAAGCACAGATATGGTAAAGAAACACAGAATATATATATGTATGTGTGTATATATATATATAAACCGAATGTACAATAAATTAAACAAACTGGAAAGGAACTCTAAGGCACTCGGAAAAAAAAACCCAACTCAAATGAAACAAAGGCCACTACTAAAATGAAAGAGAAGTCAACACAGGACCTCACAGTATATAACCAGACACAATGGACATGCTAACACCTTACTGGCAACAGTACAAGATAACGCTCTTTTTAGCTGCACAAACAGACACACTCTTTCCAAAACCTTTTATAAAGGATATGCCACGAGTTATTTAAAAGTCTAAAATTTCACATTAAGACCGGAAGACTACCCAGTATACCTCAGTCGAAACTTAAATCAGCTGAACTTGAATTGGCTGTCCGCAGCTCTGATATTGTCTGCTCACTCTCTCTACCTCAAACTTTTGAGCATTATCCAAATCCATGCCTAGCAAAACATTTTATGTCATTGTACTGACTTGCCATGCCACAAGTCAACAACAATATCACTCTACGTTGTTTTTTTTCCTCCCAGATTCTAAAAGACTCAAAGAAAAAAAACCCCTATCTGGATCAAGCAGGTCACTAGTTACAATTAACCTTTGGGCCACACAGATTTGGAACAAAAGCAGCCAAAAGGCAAAAACACTATCATTTTTATGTACAGCAGAGTTGCTCCATTTTTATTTTGCATTCAAATCTGTTATTTCCAATACAAATGAAAATTCAATTATAGAAAGAAGATCAAAGTGTGGTTTCATGACCAATGCCCAGGAAAAGGACCATATTCTCTCTCCTAATTTCATTCTGTTTGTACAATGACATCTTGCTGAACAAATAATGACAACAGATTTTATTAACAGTACTTCATTTTAATAAGTAATGTCTGGTAGTACCACGGTACTATAAAGCCAATTTCAAGCTTTGAAAACACTGAAGAAAATGTCCATTAAATTTCAGATCAGCAAGGGAGAGAACCATTGAAGAGGTATCAATTGCGAGATCCTGAACCGAGAAGCTGGTAAATACCACGTCAGTTTCAAAATAACACAGAAAAGAGCCTGTTTATCCTAGATGACGTATTCAGTCACGTCACCCCCACTGAATATTCCTCATCTGCTACATGCACCTTCACATCTTTTAAATCTGTCGAGAAAGTCCAGCCATTCCTCAACCCCAGTTGCAGCTACTTTCATTTGGAAATCACTAAATTGATTTTGCTTTCACCGGCAGTACTTTCTTCTTGATGGTCCAATTGGGTTGCAAAAGCCTTCATTTAACCTCTCACTAGGTGTACGTGAACTCAGCAACCCAAAATAATTATTGATAATGTCTAACCCCCCAAATGACTCAACTTAGACCACTTATGATGCAGACTGCTTCGACCTTGCCAATCAGGGCCAACCCAGGCTGACTGGGATGGAATTCTAGCAGAAAAGCAGAGACATTTGAACCAAATAAAAAAAAACGAATAGAACAAAAAGACCCATCTCATGCACACTTCTATCAAGCAAAGTTCAAAATTGATCCAGGTACACAAATCAACATACAGAGCAGATGTAACGGTACAAAAGTAGTGGTTACATCATGAAACTCGACTAACATCCCACGTTCAGAAATACCTAGCTATTTTATTATAAAATTCAGGTCAACAACTGGGTAAACTGTAACTATCATTTTTTTTTTTTAAAAGCAACACATACTGGTTCTTTATTCAGACACACAGACAGTGTTTCATCAACGACCACCGACCAAGACAAAAAAAGGCTGCAACAAACTAACAAGGCACACAGAACCCAAAAGTCTAACAAAACTTATCTAAAAAATTTGTGTAAAGTTTCCAGGAAATTCTTGGGGAAAAAAGAAAGTATTAGCCCACGACCCTTGATTTCATCATAATGTTCAAGAGATAAGGGCACTGAGATGGGCTCTGTTGACAATAACTCTATGGGAAATGTCTTCCAACGGGGAAAAGTGAACTGGATGAGTGAGGTAGATCAGGCAACAGTCTTCATGATTAGAAGTAGTTTCCAAAAGCATCAAATATTTTCATTAATCGAACAAAAGGGTCATCAATTTATCATTGATTTGAAATCATTAAAAGAAACAATACTCAGAAGTCTGCAACACACATTCGGAAGATTGGATCAAGCGTCTATAAATAAAAATTGAATAAAGCTTCAACAAAAACTATCCACTAACTGAACATCACTAATCATTCTCATAATTTTAGAGTACATTATGTTCTAACAAGGATTCCAAAACTTAAATATGATTG